AATAGCTTTGTTTCAAGCGCGGAGAAGAGCTGGTGCACCCAGATAAAACCTCAAACTCTTCAAGTGATGGCGACATCTTAACTTTTTTTTTTTATATGAGGACAGATTCTTCTGATCTCCTAGACTTTATAATAGTCTGTTCCTTTTTCTCCTTCACTGTGTGCTATTCTGTTGGCTAACCCTGAGCACTCCACCTTGGCTGTTTAGGCTTTGGAAACCCTAGCAATGAGCCTGATTGATAGGAAAAAGGGCAGACACCGTGGCCGCTTTCATCCATGCTGTTTGGCCTGTGGCTGAGGGTGCCTTGTTAGATTAACCTTTGATATGGTAGGTGATGTTTGCTTGTGAAATGTGAGTAATGCTCCCTGCAGAACAACTGATCTAACAGCTTGCTGCCACTGAAAGGGACTATCCTAACTCCTACTTTTGTAGGCTTATCTGATTGCCTTCAAAAGTTGCCTCACTTAGGCAACTCGTCAGTAAAACAGATTATCCTCAGGACATTGTGTGTGCTAGCTTTCTACAGCACTGCTATAGCTGGTTTCAAGGAGACTGGGTTTAAATGGAGTTCCCTAGAACAATGGGACAGCAGCTTCCTGGAAGAAGGGAGTCTCCGCAGTTGATTGTAACTAAAATCCCACCTAGAGACAGGGGGTTTGGCACCAATGTTAGTGTTGAGTCCCACTGAATTCTAGATTACGTTGGTAAGGCTGGAAATGTAAATAGAATAAAAAGAGACAGTGTGATCTTCCTCTCCTCCCTTTTTTGCACCATCTCTCTTTCTGAGTTCCCAGATCCAGGGCAGTCTGGTTATGCAGAAAATTATTGATGGAGCAAAGGGGAAAAATTACTGGGTGTGATACTTTTGATACTCCTTTTGTCAATGGATGCCTCCTGACACACAGAATTGTGACTTTTTTTAAAAAAAAGCATGCTGCAAGGATGTATTTCTATGTAGGAATGGGAGATGAGTGCTAGAAGCTAGATAGCAGAGGAAGGAGGATTCAGGGGTTGTGGCAGGAAAGATGTTTGAGGGCTGAGGAAGCTGGGGCAGGTGTGATGCAGCTTCCCTCTTTCCCCACGTGGTTCAAGGAAGGCAATGCTGGAGCGTGGTGTTGGTGCTGGTAATCGGGAAGCCGTGAGCAGGGAGCAGCGTTGCAGCGGTTCGTAGCTTCAGCGCAAATTGAAGTGATTGAATTGGTCTCTTCTGTGGCCTTACACCAGGTATCTGATATCTCGGGGAATACATCAGCTATCCAAAGCCAATTACTGCACAAACGAGGGGGTTTATTAAGATGGGGGATTCCGCAGCTGGATGCAGACGTGGCCTCTAGTTAGCACTTTAAAACTGAAACATGCCTTGAAGTCAAGGGACAGAGTTAGAAGAGCCTAGGGTTTGTTCCAATTTCTGGCACGTTCAGGTAACTCTTGAGTCGTTTGGTTTCCGATGCAAATCCTGAAACCCAGACATCCAGTCTGTGTTACTGCATTATCAGTCTCCTAATCTCTCCTTTGGGCAGGGGTAACAAATCTTGACTCACTGGCAACCACCCAACTGTATCCAAATATAACTTGGTAGGAAGACCCAGCCGTTAGTGTTTGTGAGAAGTTTTGTGTCCGTCAAGACTGGTGACCTCCGCCGTGGGGGGATGTCAAGGGGGCTGCTTTCATGCATAGCTCTGCTTGTGGAGGAAACTTGATTTATGACGGTGGAATTGGGATTTATGACTGTGACTGTCTTTAAAAGAGATTAAAACATTTCATTTCATGGCCTATTTCCTTTCTTCTTTTATTTATCTTCTATCTCTCCGTGCTCCAGATCTTTGATTGTTTTAATTCTATTTTCCCAAGGACCAGAAAAGGCTTTCCTTGGAAGCTGTTCATACGGTGTATGTTTTGTCAGAACATCTTCTCATGATGTGTTAGCAGTCTGCACTGGCTTTCTGGTGACTCAGGGATTGCACTATAATACTGATAAGATAATGTTTAATCATGTATCCTAAAGCAGGAGATTTAGGTCACAGGATTAGTTTGTTAGGAAGCTTCAATCAAGAACATATTAATTAGAATGCGTGCAGCATACAGACAGATGTTTAAGTTTGAATTACTAGATAAAATTGAACTTTTGGTGATGCAGAGCACGGCAGAAAACTAGACTTATTTAATATTTTTTTTAAGCAATGCCTGTGGATTTAGGTCAAGAGTGAAATGTCAGCATGTGGCAATGAACTTGGAAAACCTCCTTTTTCCCTATCCTGTTTTCCCAATGTGTTCAGCGGGCATAAGGGCCCACCAACTATGTGAGGGAGTTAATACTTGGGTTTAAAGGTGTTTTTTTTTTTATTAGGGAAAAAAACAAACTTTTCAGGTGTACAGTGTTAGGACACATAACACTTTGCATGGTTTTGCTTTTGCAGGGATAGATAGTCGATACAATGAAGGTTGCAGGGAACTGGCAAACTATCTGCTTTTTGGCTTGTATAACCAGAGTAACAACGACTTTGAAAGAACTGGGTTTCCTGAAGAAGTTCTTGATGGTGAGTAACACCTCCGGAGTTCTGAGCTCTTTTTTTAATTTAACGTACTAACTCACTTTCGTAACGTTTGAAAGATGCCCAGTCACCGTGTTCTTAAATGATTATTCCCTTATTTGCATGAAACTTTGAATATCTGGCCCGTAGGCTGGACTGCTAGTTTTTAGTTGGAGCATGTGATGTAATATCAGGCAAGAGCAGCTGTAGTTTACAGTTTTGTAAGTGCTGGGTAAGGACTCGTCACTGACGCTTGGCTTTTCAAAGGACAAGCTGATGCAAGTTCTGTGCAAGACTTCAGAATAAACCCACAATTGTTCTGAACAGTAAGAAGTGCTATTGTGTGTGGAACTGTATATGCCTGCCAACTGGTTTTTTTTTTTGAAGAAGTGGGGAATGGTTGTGTGTTCAAATAGTTAAACAGTTTTCTTTTAATGAGGTACACTATAGGAAAAGTGGTTTCTGTTCAGTTTCTGTGGGTGGTTTTTTGTGCCCATAAAATTCTTACATGTATGGAGCCTTGATGCTGGAATAATACTTGTTCTGCTTGTTGCAGATATAATCATATTAATAAAACCTGACAGTGTCCATCTGTACTGTAACCCTGTGAATTATAATCATCTTTTGCCGTACGTGGCATACTGGAGGAACTTGCATTTTCACTGTCTAACTGAAAATGAGGTAAGTGGAAAATAAATGCAGATGAGAACTGATAATGAACTGATGATCAAAGTGGAACTTTTTGTTAACTTTCCTTCCAGAAGTCCTTTTCCTTTTCAGCAGGGCAGTGATCTGCGTATATTTATGGGTATTAATAATTTTGCTAATGTGTGCAAGAAGAAGATGTTTTTAATACTTTGTGTTTGTTGGAGCATGAAGACAAATTGCTCCCCTCTCCTACTAATTACTGTTGTTTTGACATGAGTCAATGATCTTCTAACGACAAAAAACATGTGAGTTGTGAGAAATGCAGGATCTGAATCAAGTACCACAATCACCACTGAGATTTCCAAGGACAGCCTTACTTGCTACCGAAGCAGTGTTTCAATGTGGTGTTTGCCAAGAGTTTTACAATATTAGAAACGATCGGCCTAGTGAGCCATTTAAAATCAAGAAACTCGATTACGTGTTTTCATTTCAACTTTCAACTCTTCCTTTCAAGAGCTATTAACCTCACTTTCGTTGGACCATGCAAGTGATGTGCGTTTCACCTTGCATTCAAAAGTCAAGGTATTCTTAGAAAAGCTGTGTTTATCATAGCGAAGTACTGTTAAGAGGAGTAAAAAAAATGGAAATACTGTTTGTCTAGGTGTAAAATAAGATCCTTTTTATTCCAGTTGAGGCTGGAAATGCTTCTTCCTAAATGCCATCATGGGAAACTTCCCCTGCTGTTCAGTTCTGTATAGTTCCTTTTCTAAATCAGAATTATACTGAAATCTGAAGGGAGTGGGTTAGGAGCCTGCAATGTCAATGGGTGAGGCTGGTGGAAGAAGGAATGGGGAGGTCAGGGAGAGAAACCTTCTGTTCCCTTCAGTTTCCAGCTTGAAAACAGTGGGGCTTATGCTAGATTGTGGTTTTATGTGGCTGTTTGATAGTTTAGGTGACAGAATTAGGCAATAATTCAGGTTAGAAGGGACCTCGGGAGGTCATCTCGTCCAACCTCCTGCTTAAGGCAGCGTTAGTGATGAGATCAGATCAGGTTACTCAAGTTTTTTTTGCAGTTGGATGTTGAAAGCGTCGGAGGATGTTGACTGCAGGCCTCCTCTTGGCTATCTGCTCCATTACCTGACAGTCCTCACAGTGGAAAAAGGGTTTCCTTTAATTCAATCTGAACCGCCCTTGTTTTAAATCGTGCCCTTTGTCGTGCGTCCCACAGCTACAGACCACCGCGAAGAGCCTGGCTTCACCATCTCAGTAACCCTTTTTGTGGGTGTTGGAAGGCAGCTGGGAGGTCCAGCCATTGCCTTCTCCAGGCTGGAGAACAAGCCTGGGCCTCCCCTTGTAGGACAAGCGCTCCAGCCCGCTGGTCGTCATGGTGGCCCTCTGCTGAACTTACTCCAGTTTGTCAATGTCTTTCTTGTACATGGGTCCCAAAACTGGACGCGGTGTTCTAGACACGGTCCCGTGAGTGCTGCATAGAGGGGGGTAACTGCTTCTTGTTCAGGTGTAAACAGCTGAGCTACAGGTTAAAGCATGCCGGAGCAAAAGCGAAAGCCTGGCTCCGTAAGGTTTTTCTGTTGCCAAAATCCCTGCTGAAAGGGCAAATCTTGAAGCACACCTGACGGTGGCAAAACACATGCCTTTGGGAATCCAGAATGGAGTAGTTCTTAACACGCTATGGTAGCGCTACTGTGGTTCTTAGCTATTGAATTTTAAGCTGCATCTGCTTATGAGCTTTTATGTGATTTGTTGTGGTAAGTAGTAACCTTAATCACACAGTGCTGGCTTGAAATAATGGCGTAGCTAGGAAGGTAAAGCACGTGCCTTGCTCTTGGTGGAAATGAATGGAAAAGTTTGGTTTCTGAAGCTGAAAATACAGAATTTACTTCACTGCTGTTTCATGTGAATGAGCTGAGCAATACACTGCCAGTCACATTTCTGATGTATAAGAATTGCCCGTTTCCTAATGTACTACTGAAAGAAAACCAAAAAATGTCAGGCTTTAAGTGTGTCCTGTTTACAGGAGGATTGCCTGTAGTGTCTTTTAAGCATTTTGTTTTTTTTTTCCAGCGATAGAAATAACTTTTGCTTGCTTTTATAGAAATGGTACCAAAAAAGCTCAAGAGTTTTAGAAACGAAGCGAGCAGTGCCGTACCTGGCTCTGTGCAGCTCTTGATGAATCTGGCAAAACCTCTAGCCTCCCCTTCCTTCCTGTCTTCCTTCCTACTTGCCTTTAACTAGACCATAGGCATTTAAGTGGATATCCTAGTTATTGGAAGAAAAAACGTATTTTTAAAGAATGCCCATCTCCAAAATGGGCAAGTAAGAGGAAGGACTGAAATTTGACGCACGCTGTGAGAGCTTTCTGGATGTCATGACTGTGCCGTTCATGGAACGGGCTGTATTTATACCTGCAGTAGCAGATAGTGAGCAAGCCTTTAGCACCCTGCCAAAACCCAAGTTCTTATTCTAATGGCATTTTAAGTCTTGAGAAACTGGCGGTTGTTTGGGGCTTGGCTTTGAACTGAAACTTTGATCTGGCTTCCTGGGATTGAAGAAGGAACATATCATGGAGGAACTTGGGCTGCATCTTAAATTCAGGCCTGTCTTAAAAGAACTTGTTCTTAAAATAAATTTTGGGTGTGCCCTGAAGCTTACAAGAGCTATATACAAAAAGTTCGTAATAATTTAATTTACCTTGATGCTACACTCAGAGGAGTGTACATTAAAAAAATAATAATAATAAAAAAAGGCAAAACACTGCTACCTTCTGATCTTACTCCAGAAATCAAGTGACTCTTGAAGAATCCAGCAAGGCTGGGCCTGTTGGTTTCAGACTTGCTGCTAAACCGTACCTTTTCAGATAAAAATCAGAGAGCGTTTTTAGGGTTTTGTTCTGTTTATAAAAATGATTTTTGCGTGATTTGTCTCATCAATCCGATGTTTATGCTTTTCTGAGCCAGAAGTATGGTATTTGTTCTTCACTCCAGCTCTTCAACCTGCTGAAGTCCTCAGACAACTTCAGTCTGCTGCTAGTGTGAAACAGCAAATAGTGTTGCACGGTGGTGCCTCCTCTTCTTTCCTCCTCCTCTTCCTGCGTATACCTCTCCCTCAGACAGCAGCTGGTTCTCACTGCCTGTTCTGTGACCTGAGGCCTATCTTGTCAGCTGGCCTTCCCTGGTTTAGTGTTGTTAAACTGGTAATATTTTGGGTTTTTTTCCCCTCAGTGGCCAGTTTTTTGTGGCACATCAGTTGGTGTTCTCAAAATATCTTCTCATTGTTTAAAAACTGTCCAGAATCTAGTAATGTTGTTGAAAGACTTCACTGAAAGCTGAAGTATGTAATTGTGCCTTCATATGGCCTTAATAAAAGCCTTGCTCTGAAGTTTGATTTCTTTGAAGAACAGTTTCCATTGGCTTGAATACATCACTGCTGTGATGAAGTTTCCAAAATATAGTGACTAAAGAGGTTCTTCTGGAAGCTGTAGGTAATGTTTTAGTGGTTTACATGACGTTTGCTGTGGCATGAAAACAGTGGAATATGTATTCTCTTTAGTGCAGAGCTAACAATCAGATTAGGCATGCCTGATGGAATTTTATTTTACCTGACTTCTTTCAGTATGAAGATGAAGAAGCTGCAGAGGAATTCAAAATTTCCAGCTTTGTAGACATGGTTCGAGATTGCAGTCGCATTGGTATTCCATACAGCTGCCAAGGTAGGTTGGCTTGTTTTATGCTTATAGTTTAAGTATTTTGCAGCATGTGAGTCATGCAGATTTCCTTGCCTTGGGTAAGAAATAAGGATTAATATGTCAATAGTTTCCTTTTAGCCTTTTTTTCCTTGAGTTGGATTTCTTTCTGAAAAACGTGAGCCCTTAGACTTCCTCTGAAGAGTGAACGCTCTCAGCGCAAGGCTGAAGAAATAATTTGCATTCAGAGAAGTGTGTTCTGCTGCTACAGAAGTCCTCTGTTCAGATGGAAGCTCCAGATAAATAGTTCATTATTTAAGGAAAGAATAAACATTTCGTTACGCAAGTTTCCTTTTTTTAGCACTGAAAAAACTGGGCTGCACGGCTTCCTGTTAGGACCTGTAGCCAGCCTTGCAGCCCAGTCTGATGTTGTTCAGTGAAGTGTAGTTCTGCATTACCCCAACAGTGAGTAATGCAGAAGTGCAGTGCATGTACCTCGCTGTGCAGCGTGAACGCGTGGGGGTGTTGATCCAGTAGGTGAGAGGCAACAAAAAAAAATTTGGTTTCTATTTTTGAACCATGGAAGTTCAAACCAAGCTGATTCAGTTCTGTGGTTTTTTTTCATTTCTAATTCTTCATTGCTTTGCTTGAGGAAAGGGTGATAAGCTCTGACTGCCTGAAAAATCATTAATGGGTCAGGGCGTGGGGGAAGGATGGTGGTTCTTCACAGAAGCAC